TATATATATATATATATATATATATATATATATATATATATATATATATATATATATATATATATATATATATATATATATATATATATATATATAATTGTTGACTGTTGTATGTTTTGAGTCACGAAATGCTGGACATCATGAACAAATAGTTCTTACGTCAAAAGGTTGCCAGTCTTTCATCCAAAAGGAATCATCAGGTGGCTGACGATTTTCAAAATGGGCTGCTTAAATGTTTTCGGTCGGAAATGTGGAGTTTCTTTTTGTGATAACAGGTCGAAACTATTTTCGATTTCTTGTCAAGTAAAAATTGTCCACTGTATTTTTTTCCTTCAAAATACAGAGCTTTTCTTTCAAAAACAAACTACATATTTTTTATCCTCCTATATAAAATCGCGTGTTTTAATATTGACTAAGTTACATTGAAATCTTGTTTGTTTTCATTCCCAAATATATTTCGAAAGTTTGGTATCGTTTTACTATTTTTTGCTGTCACAGTTGCTTGTGGTAACAGTTACCTTAGCTTGCATATTATGTCCTTAGTCGTGCATCTTTGTCCTATACAGTTGTCTTCGCTCTATCACTGATTTTCCCCAATTATGCGTGGTAATTATGGACTTCACATTGTTTCTATTAAAAATATTGTGAAGTTTGGAAATGTTTGTCAATTAGGCTGAGAAAATTGCGCCGTTCATTGTTGGGTTTGACATTCTTACTCAGGATTGGTTAATCAGATACTTTGATTGGTTAATCAGATACGCACAATATTTAATACTTCATTTGAAGCCATCATACCTGCATCGTTCGTCCGCTAAATAACTCTTTGAAGACGCCTGGATACGAGACAGAAAAGGCAAACATTAACCTTTCGCGCGATACCCAGACAGCGAATGTTTTGTTAAGAAAAGTATTTAACCCATTGAGCACCATCCCCTGGCCTTGACGAGTAAAATCATCTGACGTTAAATGAGGGTGCAATGCAACTTAATGGGTTATAGGACAAGATGATAGTTTTTAAAACATGAGCCGTGTTGTATCGGATTGTGTTTTTTTTATGAATTATTAATAAGTTTCTCAATAATATTTCTAGGCTGTGGATATTACAATCAATGAAGTTGAGTTTAATGCGCAGTTTATATCACGTATGATACCCAGATTGGAGTGGAGTGCTGTTGTCCAAGCTGCCAAGCAGGTATACATCAGGGTCACACTATACATTTCACTTTCCTCACCCGAATTCTCGCTCCTGATATATAGAGCTTACTGGGGAAGCCTCAAACTCGTGCATTCTTCGTCCTCATGCCAGCCCCTTGGTTGTTATACCAATGGTGGTTATACAAAAAACCCAAACTATTGAAGTAACGTATTGCTAGAATTTGAATGCCCTAGCACTAAGCTGTACGCAAAGATGCGTAAAATATTGACAGGGTACATATATTATAAATTTTGAATTATTAAGAAATTAAAATGTCTTTGTAAAGCGCACGTTTTCTGCTGTTGGGAATTTAAAGCAGCCTTCTAAACAGTTTCTGTATGCATAAAATTTACTTGTGTCAAGCTTTCATGCACTTGTGGGTTCAGCAGAGTGCCGAGGCATTCAAATTCTAACAATACGTTATTTCAATAATTTTTCAATATTTTGGGGTTTTTTGGGACACCCTGTATCTATGTAGTACATCTACCAAACATATAACAGATGTAAAACTGTGATTGAATTAGGTTGGAAAAGGTGAAGATCTTCCTTGTGAAGTAGTTCCTGATTTTGAAAATGATGAAGAATTTCTAAAGAAAGCACACCACATACTGCTGGAGGTTAGTATGAAACACGTTGAGCGACAATGCCTTCAGCTACACACTCACCTCTATAAATCACTGGAGCAAAAACTTCATTCAGCCTATGAGAAAAGTGAAGGTCGTAAACAGTTCTAACAGCATTTTTCTCAGCGAATTCCAGTTTTTCGAACGGACCGTATCACTCCATTATTAAAGAGTTTACGATTCACGACGCGACTAGAGAAGATGCGTTAGAAAGGCTTGGTAACTAGCGCGGCCAACGCGTCTTGTGGAATTTTGTCAATTTCACGTTGTGATCACTACGCTGCGAATTTCAAGTGAGTATCGAATACTTTTACATTGAAAACGTGAATTTAAGTTCTTAACTTTTTATTTGTGATGAAGTAGTACCTTTGATTACATTTTCTGTGGTGTTTAAGCAAAAATTACAAAGATTTTAAAAAACCTATAATTTTCCCGCCAAAATAGGCGTTTTACACTTGCGCGTTGTGTTTCGTAACGTAGGGAACAGAATAAGACGACGAGGCTTGGGCCGCGCTAGCTACCAAGCCTTTCTAACGCGTCTTTTCTCGCCGCGTCGTGAATCGTAAACCTCTAATAATTAAAGGCTGCATCAGTAGACTAAACTAAGCTTTTGTAAAGTTATCCAAACATGTGATTTTGGTTATATTTCAGGTTGAGGTACAAAAAGGTTTTCTAGTTTGTCCAGAAACATCAAGAAAATTTCCCGTTGAAAATGGTATACCTAACATGCTACTAAATGAAGACGAAGTATAGACCTGAAAATATCATCTGGGTGATAACCTCGAGACAAACATGGCGCAAAACATCGAAAGTATTCCAAAGAAAAATGGCAAGGAATCGATCAACTTTGTAAATAAACTGCCCAAGTTTCCCAATCCAGTATGTAAATGAAATATATACTGGACAATTTGTACTGGACAATTAAAAGTCTGACAGACCTAGCGTAATTAAATTTTCAGGAGGAAATTTGTGAAAAACACTTCTGACTTGCACACTTTACGAGTTAGGAATTTTACATGACTTATGAAAGAGTAGACTCAGTAAAATAAAGTACGTTTGAACTATGCAAGTTATTCTCCCATCAACTATTGCGTTTACATAAAAAAACGACTGCTGCTTAGAAAAATGTTGCTTAAAATATTTAAATTTGAACCGATAAAATTCACAAGTTAACGGAACAGAATTCATTCACTTCTTTAATTGGTGAGATGATTTCTTAATCTTAAACTTAGTTGACAGAGTTCAGAGTCTGAGTCGACAGAGATGAACAATTGACAGCTCTATCAAATTAAACTAATGATGTTCTTAAACTGTATTAATTATGCCTACTTAATAGCAAATTTAATCCATGAAAATGTAACTGAGATAGAAGAAGTTCATTGTACGCCACACCCTCCTTGATTTCCAAGATTTTGCATGTTGCGAGTAGCGTCGTGGCAGACTCCTCCCCGTAAATGGTAATCTTTCCCTCCAGCTTTAACATAATCGCTTACAGATGCTCTTCCACCAACATCCCGACTTTGTTCAACCGGTTGCCAGTTTTTACTCATGTGCTTCGCGTCAACGACAACTGTATCACTACTTTTGCCAAAGCCATCTCCCTTGTGAACCAAGTACTGACTACCATCACTCGTTGTCACCAAGCTTCCTGAATGAGTGGCTTGATCAGGCTTGCCAGAGTAGGATGTTGTAACTCCGAATGCATTTGCTGCGCTGATTGCGCTTTTTCCATACTGACCACCTTTTTGCCCGGCTAGGGGTCTTTCTACCGCCTGAGAACTCACAACGCGTTTGTTGTAGAGGTTGGTGAGTCCTGACTTGCTCTTAATGTCGTGAGGAAAGCTTTTGCCTCCACTAAGAAAACGTAAAATATTCTTATGATTTTCTCCAAGAAAATATGTAAAGTTACAACAAATATCTCAACATTATTGCATGAGTGTTGGGACAACGTTGTCGAGTCTGTTTGAACGGATCTTTAATTAAAATGAAGAAAGACAAGAGAACACAAACCATAGTAATGTAAAGTAACGTGAAGTACTAGTTAAGTACTTAAGTGAGGTCCTATATAGGTAAATTAATTACTATGGGATGGGATGGTCGAGATCAGTGGGTAGGTAAGTTCAGGCAAAGGTGCACTAAGATACGTTTAGGTATAAAGCAGGGCATGGTAAGGAAAGCGAAGGGAAAGTCAGGCAAGCCAAGGTGAAGGTAAAACAAGGTATGGCAAAGTAAGATAAGGGTAGGGTAAGGTAAGGAAAGCGAAGGTAAAGTCAGGCAAGCCAAGGGAAGGTAAAACAAGGTAAGGCAAAGTAAGATAAGGGTAGGGTAAGGTAAGGAAAGCGAAGGTAAGTCAGGCAAGCCAAGGGAAGGTAAAACAAGGTAAGGCAAAGTAAGATAAGGGTAGGGTAAGGTAAGGAAAGCGAAGGTAAGTCAGGCAAGCCAAGGAAAGGTAAAACAAGGTAAGGCAAAGTAAGATAAGGGTAGGGTAAGGTAAGGAAAGCGAAGGTAAAGTCAGGCAAGCCAAGGGAAGGTAAAACAAGGTATGGCAAAGTAAGATAAGGGTAGGGTAAGGTAAGGAAAGCGAAGGTAAAGTCAGGCAAGCCAAGGGAAGGTAAAACAAGGTATGGCAAAGTAAGACAAGGGTAAGGTAAGGAAAGCGAAGGTAAAGTCAGGCAAGCCAAGGGAAGGTAAAACAAGGTAAGGCAAAGTAAGATAAGGGTAGGGTAAGGTAAGGAAAGCGAAGGTAAAGTCAGGCAAGCCAAGGGAAGGTAAAACAAGGTATGGTAAAGTAAGATAAGGGTAGGGTAAGGTAAGGAAAGCGAAGGTAAGTCAGGCAGGCCAAGGGAAGGTAAAACAAGGTATGGCAAAGTAAGACAAGGGTAGGGTAAGGTAAGGAAAGCGAAGGTAAAGTCAGGCAAGCCAAGGGAAGGTAAAACAAGGTAAGGCAAAGTAAGATAAGGGTAGGGTAAGGTAAGGAAAGCGAAGGTAAGTCAGGCAAGCCAAGGGAAGGTAAAACAAGGTATGGCAAAGTAAGATAAGGGTAGGGTAAGGTAAGGAAAGCGAAGGTAAGTCAGGCA